GCCTGATCAATGATCCCTCAACAGACTGGGGTTTTTATTCAGTAAATGTGACAGTCACTTCAATGGTACACAGGCAGAGGCCAACAAACAGACAATTTATTCCTTGTTAGAGAAATTTATTTCAGTTTTTGACTTTCTTTAAGATACTGTATCTGCTGACAAATAAATAATTTTGTCTTTAAAAATGTTTTTTCTGTTTGAGCATGTAAGTTTTCAATAAAAATACAGATTGAAATAAAAATGGTATCATTTGTAAACCAGCAACATTTGATAATGTTTAAAGGGTCTGAATATGTTTGCAAGATACTGTACTGTACTGTATATTCTCCATTCATTTTTCATTTTGGCAGGGCTTTCTATATGATTTATGAGCTTTCTATATTTCTATAAGTTTTATTTTGTTTGAATCTAGATTTGAATATAACAGTAATTAGAGCTAATTGTTTCCTCTCTCGCCTTACCCTCTGAAGTGTTTCCTGTAGTCAAACTTTAGAGCCTTACTCACACAGAAATGACTGCAGTAGTCCATCCCCGTTGACTACTTGAATGTGTTTTGGTTTAACTAGAATGTTATTGTGAAGCATTTTTAACATCATTATTAAGATAAAAGGTTTTGTGTAGTTATTTGCAGTTGTTGTGTATTTTTTAATGGTCAAACATTAACTCAGATCAGTATACATGTAGATAAATTGGAAGGAATGGGGACTGGTATGTTTCTTTCTCATTTGATGAGCTAACACAGTGGTTTAATCACTAAAGCAAAGAGTTTTTTTTCTGTAGATTTCCAAATTCTGAGGTTCATATTTCTGCCAATCCCTTTGTGTTTAACACATTGATAAATTTGTAAATATGAAATTAATTTGCCAGCTGTCATACTGTTTCTTAATATCAGACCTTTGGAAAATGTAGAAGAGACTGCCATTTGGCATTTCTGTAGTAAGTGCTGAAGAAATATTTAACCCCAGAACTACATACCGACTGTTACCAAGAAAGCCCTGCATAGCTTAATTAGACAGCAATAGACTACTCACTCTTGTGTAAGCTTTCATTATATTCCATCCAAAATCTCAATTTCTTTTGGAATGTTTTGCTGAAAAATAACATAAGTTCATAAATATTGTCACAGTCTGTTCAGGAATTTTCAAACAATTCAATAGATACTGATTGATCTTTTTTTTTAATTCTAAGAGCTTCTTGGGTGTCCTGTCATTTTTATGTTGATATGGGGATGTATAATTAATATAGTTTGAGAGAAGAGGTCCAATTTTTATGTCTTCTGCACCCTTAGGTAGAAATATGTTTCTGCTATTAAACTTTACAAGCGTCTTCCCTAGCACTTTGTGTCTTGACCTCTTGCAATTGTAACCTTACCTTTGTTCATCCTGTGCCTCATCGTCTCCTCACCTCCTCATCAGTGTTTTCCACTTCCATTACATGACTGGAGTTGCTGTCCCACCTCTTCTTGAACAAGAAGCTCTTCAGTCTTTTTTCTAAGTCCACTTCTCAACATTTCTGGTCTAATCTACTGCATCTTTTGCCACAGCCCATCTTTGTTTTTTTGTCTCTACTCCTTCCACAGTCCTATTTTATACAGTCCCCATAAGAGCCCACCCCCCAAGTTACTTATAACCACTTCATGTATATAATATATGATTATAATTAATAATTGCTTATACGTATATAGTGATTTTCTGGACACTCCACTCAAAGCACTTTACAGGTAATAGGGACTCCCTTCCACGACCACCAATGTGCAGCATCCACCTGGATGATGCGA